AATCAGAGTTGAACTCCACTATAATTTTTATCTCTAGCAAAAATTTGATGCACTATGGTTTGCATTATTAGATATTTTAACACATGATCATGTGGTCTTTTGTTACCTAGAATATGTTACATTCAAGCACAGGGACTAGGTACAATGCTTTTCACCATAAATTGTAAAATTATGATACCTGGAAGCGCTGAAGCCTTCTTACCCCTTTGAAGGAAGCCAGCAGAGGGCAAAACTGACACACTAAGAAGAACAGAATGGAGGAAAGGATAGAATCTGGATGTTTGACACCACTTTTCAAAGACCAATCATACCATTCCTGATGCCCACCTCTGGACATTCAGATTTATGCAATAATACATTTCTGTAGCATATAAGACTACAGAGTGTGGGGCTTCTGTTACTCAGAATTGAAACCATCTAAATACCTACATGGTATTATTATTCCCCTTTTACAGAATAGAGAACTGATGCTTAGAGAAAATAAGTAAGTTGCTCAAAGTCACATAGTCAAGTACAAGGAGTTGCAGAGTGAGGATATGAACTTGAGTCTTTCTGCCTACAATGCCTGGATTCACTCCCAGCCCCCTCCAACTCTTTATCCATTTAACAGAACTCTTTACCCATTCTTCTTATTAATTCCATGTTCTTCATTCCTGCTATTCTTTTTTGCTTGTCTTTTTCTCACAGGAAGTGGTGTTCCTCTTCCTACCTATGGCTAGGTTAGCCTCTCCTCTAAGGAGCTGGCTATTTATCTTCCCCGCCTTCTTTGGGGCTTTGCTCTATCAATTATGAAGGCCTTTAAACCATCAATGTCTTCTTTCCCCTTCAGCATCTACATAAATTCAAGTCATGCCGGACACCTTCATCTTTTCTCTTGATCCTGATAACTCTTTAAGCTATTTTCTCCTTTATTACATTTACCAAGAGGCCTCTAGAAAATGCAGTGTATGTATGCTGTTTACACAAATTTCCTCTTAATTGAATTTGCTCTCTTAAAATTCTCTGAGGAAGAAGAGGCATTGCAACTCTCCCTACCCAAAGGTGGAGGGGATGATTTTGTGTGTGTGTGTGTGTTACAGGCTCTGTTCCTTGTTGGGTTATGGTTATTAGCAGGCAGGGTCAACGTGTGCTAAAACGTCATCCATGTCTCATGCTTTCTTACGCTTCCTTCTCCCCATGCGGCCACTAAGAAGACCTATACAGCGCATTGTCCAGTCCTGCCTCCTCCACCCCCCCTTCCTCTTCAGAGTAAGTCAAAGAAAGGCAAGATTTGGGAAGAACTATTGAGCATATAATAACATGATATTATACCTCATAACTAAGCCATGGAACACGAACTTTATCTTTGTCCCTATTGACAATATAATATGTTTATTCTGATGTTGCTATTGTGTCTTATAGGTACAGAAAATGAGAAATGATCCATAAGGCAGGATTCTGGCATTACTGGGTTTCTGAACATAATACCATCAAAGCGACATTTTGATTCTCAGCAGCACTATTGATTTTTTTTCCCTCTTTTCTCCAAGTTTTGTTGTGGAATGATCGATGAATGAAAATTATACACATTTAAGGTGTCCAATGTGATATTTTTATATACACTATGAAATTATTACAACAATCAAGCTATTAGCATATCCATCATCTCACTTAGTTACCTTTTATTTTTTTGATATTAAGAACAATTCAGATCAACTCTATTAGCAAATTGCAAGTATACAAAATATTATCAACTGTTAACTATAGTTACTATGGCATGCATTAATTAGGTCTTCACCGTTGACTTTAAAGTAGTCCAATTCAATGATTTCATGTTTTATATTCTTTTATCTCTATGCAATATATTTCTCTTAGCCAATATATTCCTCCTTCTTTAAATGCTTTACTTGGCTTTTATGCCATGTTATTTTACTAGTTACTTATGATAACTCAAATCTGTTGTCTTTTTGCCCAGTATTTATTTGCCTGTTTTCTGACAAAATTGTTCCCCATACTTTTTATGGGAACCTCTCAGCACATGTGATATATTTCCACTAACAGACAAAGATGTGGGCATTGAATTGCCCTCACCTGATTCTCAAATTGAATCATCCACTAGAGTAATTGGGTCAGGGATGGGCACATAATTGATAGATCCAGCTAGATGAAGTTTGCTGGGGCTGCAGAGAAAGAAACTCTTTTTCTGCCCCTCAGACTGGAGTGTAATAAAATGTAGAGAATAAGTATTTTGTGGCCATTTGGCCACCACGTGGCATTTGAGAATGGAACCTAAGTAGCAAGAAGCGAAGGGAAGAGTTGGAGCAAAGTCTCTTCTTTGGGATATCCTGGTGTTTGAGTCCTGTATCCAGCTATATTTGCAGTTTACTATAAACTTTTCAGACACAAGAGCCAATAAATCCTGCTACTCTGCTATGATTTTGATTTGGGTTTAACCAATTTGATCTGGGGTTTCTTTCTTTTGCAATCAAAACAACACAAAACAACCTCCATATCTTACTGTGTATGTATAAATGCATATATATGAGAAAGTTCATACAGAGAAAGTTTTGAAAATATTCATTACAAAGTAGTAGGAGGGCTTATCTCTGGGGAAAGGGGACTGTTATGGTGGAAGAGATGATTGGGAAGGAATTTTTGTGTTATCTTTATTGTTAGGCTGCTTTACAACAAGGATGCAATTTTTGTGCAATGAAAAATAAACATCCAGCAAACAAAAGCAACACTCTTCTAACAATCACATCATCACCCTTCAACAACAACCACAACTTCTACTGAATTAATGATGAATGTTTTTGCCTGAAATTCAGGATCAGTAGCAGTATAGCCAAAACTTCTCTCTTTCTTCTTTCCCTTTTCTACAGTCAGCACTAAATGTTCCAGAAGGTCGCAAAGCAAATGTACTTTAAACTGGGGCTTCTGAACTTACCTTGCAAACTAATAATGTTTATAATTATTTACTTGGCAAAAGCAATTAATTTTATTTCAAAATACTTTTTCAAGCTTACTCTAGTTAATGAGTAGTTGCTGCACCATTACATCATTTGCAAATAGGAAAAAAAGGCCAAAACAAATCGAGTGGTTTGTCAAAATTGCAGAGTGAAACATTGACAGTGATGGGACTCATGTCCTTTATTCTTAGCTAATGAGCTGAGGGGCTTTCCATGATCTGCAGTTGGGGTAGGCTTTGGGAACCCCATTTTAGACGCATGCTATGGTGCTAAGTTGAAATTGGCTTCCTCCATAGACTAAGAAGAACTCTCTTTAACCCTCAATGCTTTATTATGTCATATTTCTTCGCATATGCAACCTGATTGTATTTAAGTACCCTGATGATATTGAGCAGAACCATTTAAGTAGTTTAGTGTTCTGTTACACAAAGTCGAATTTCCAACAAGGGATCCTCAGGGGGCGGGGTGTTCACTACACCTGCTAGGAATAAAAGGCAGTTTGTTTTCTCTCAACAAGAGCACTCTCAGTACTACCAGCTGATCTGATCTAGGGGCCGTTCTCATCAGAAGCGGTGAACCTGATCACCACCAGGTGGCGTAGTTTTACTATGTGGGAATAAAGGAAAAAGGCGCTCTCACCTGAATCTTTTCTGACCCTGAGTATAAAGGAGCTCATGGCTCCAGAGATAAACTCTCTCTCTGTTTAACTGATCCCAGAAAATAGAGCTTTGCCTTGAAGCCACACAATGAGTTTAAAATATTGAGCCCTCTGAACTCATTAATTTATTTTTCTTTGTTGCTGGAAAGTGCTATATTATGGGAGATAATCATGACTGATAATCCATGTAAGAGCAATTCTGACAAATTCTAATATATTAAAACAGAAACGACAAAATCATTTTCTTTAAGGGCAGAAAGTTTTGGACTACATGAAAATAGGACTCAGAATAAGAAATCTTTTGTTAAAAAAAGGGAAATAAAACAGCACCAAAATTGTTAGGAATACAGTCATATAATGCTTTACTTGCCCTCAGAATGAAGAAAGTAAATCAGAGAGCTTAAATCAATGTTTCTCTTCTGAAGTGAAACTGCATGGAATGATTTACATAGTGATTTAAATCAAAGGGGCAAAAAACGAACAATGGGCAATTAACTTGTCAATTCAAAAAAACCCACACCAAACAACCTGCTCACAAAAATGTCTTGCAAAGGAAAGAGTTCAAATTGCCCTGCAAAAGGAGGGCAGCAGTGAGGATTTCTCACGGGAGAAGACATCCTTCCTTTTGGTAAACATGTTGGAGGAGGGAGGTGAAGTTTTTCTATTAAATCAGATTCTTGGGGTTACTTTCTACCCATGGCAACTACCTGGTTAATACAAGAGTGAAAATTATAAATGTGAATTTTCTTTTACACATCAGGGATCCACAGAAGGACCTTTGAGATTCACCTGTTTCACATGATTTCTGCCCTCTAAGAATCAAGATATACCATGTGTTTAAAATAAGCATAAATTGAGGAGGGACTGGAATGAAAGAAAACTCTTTAAAAATGGGAGAACACAGTCTTGAATTGCTTGGCAACAAACTCATTTATGTCATAGTATTATAAAGTGAAGGGTACTTGCTATGTGCCACACGAAGGTATATATAAAACACATATATATATATATACATATATATATATATATAATTTTTTTTCCCTAGGCCCTTTCCAGCTGTGGCCATCCCCAGGCTGGCAGAAAGTGGATAGGGATGTTTTAAGGGGTTTTCTCCCTAGCCTCCCAAACCTTGCAATCATTGGAGCCTGTTTCTCAGGTGTGGAAGCCTACCGCCTGGCATTCCCACATTGGTCAGCTTCCCAGCTGCAGCCCACAGGCCAGGATTAATTCCGTAGGGATGCTAGAGCTGTAAATAAAAGAACCTAGCTCAGAGGTTGCCCTCGACCCGGGGGCGGGGTCCGGAGCTGGCTGAATCTGGCCCCGCCCAGGAAGGGGGCGGAGTATCTCCAGGGCTCTGCCCCGCGTGTCCCGGGCTGCACGTGACCCGCGGCCCCGCCTCCCGCCCGCTCCGCAACGCCAGCTCGGCAGGAGCGGGGCGTGAGTCTCGAGTGAGACCCGCCAGGATCTAACTCCGCAGCGCCGGTTCTCGGCGGGCAGCAACTTTCTCCCCGGAGCGGTCGGGGCGGCGCTGCTGCCGTGGCATCGGGAGCGGGAACCGGGAGGAGGAAGGCGGCAGCGGTTGCTCCTGCCAGCACAGGCTGTCCAGCCCTCCGAGAGCGCCGGCCCGCGGAGTCTCGTCCCCCCGGGAAGCCCCGGGCCCCTGCTGCCCTATGTCCCGCAAGGCGAGCGAGAATGTGGAGTACACGCTGCGGAGTCTGAGCAGCCTCCAGGGCGAGCGGCGCAGAAAACAGCAGGAGCCGGACGCGGCGAGCGCGGCCGGGGAGCGCAGCCTCCTGGCGGCCGCCGAGTCGAGCAGCAGCTTGCAGAGTGCGGGCGCGGGCGGCGGCGTCGGGGACCTGGAGCGCGCGGCGCGGCAGCAGTTCCAGCAGGACGAGACCCCCGCCTTCGTGTACGTGGTGGCGGTCTTCTCCGCGCTGGGCGGCTTCCTGTTCGGCTATGACACCGGGGTGGTGTCGGGGGCCATGCTGCTGCTCAAGCGGCAGCTCAGCCTGGACGCGCTGTGGCAGGAGCTGCTGGTGTCCAGCACGGTGGGGGCGGCCGCCGTCTCAGCGCTGGCCGGCGGGGCCCTCAACGGCGTCTTCGGCCGCCGGGCCGCCATCCTGCTCGCCAGTGCGCTCTTCACTGCCGGTTCTGCGGTGCTGGCCGCGGCGAACGGCAAGGAGACCCTGCTCGCCGGCCGCCTGGTCGTAGGGCTTGGCATCGGTGAGTTCGGGCTCTGGGAAGGGCCCCCGGGGGCCCCTGGCGTCACCGCCCTTGACCCTGGTCGCTGCGTTCCTTTTGCGCCTCCGGGGTCCCCGTCGGTTTTGGCGAGGTCCAGGAACACTCCCTGCACTGCTCTTGCCGGGAGAGCGCCCATCTGTTCGTTCCGCCTCTGAGGCTCACTCGGGGTTGGAGGGGAGAAGGGGGGTGGGTTGGTGTAGTCTCCGGCCCCGAGCGCACGGGAATCCGCGTGATTGTTGCCTCTCTGAACACTTCCAAGAACCCCGCCCATCGCCAGCTTTTTCCTTGATCCAGCCCTACCTGATGCGGCCACACAGGTTATGAGGGAGGGTCTCTTTCCCTTACTGCATTGTCTTCCTTTGTTTCTACACTGCTAGCTCCTTTCCTTTTCTGGAATTACAGTCTCCGAACCCAATCAGTCTGAAAGTCACAGTAAGTTAATTTTAAAGTTAAATAATTATGGAGTCAAAAACTATTCTGCTACCCCTTTTTTCCTTCTCTAGTCATTTATCTTGAGGTGGAGTATAAAATTTTCTTTTTGCTTTCACTTTTTGTATTGCCTTTTTGCTTTCATCTTTTCTCTAAATGATTTCCTTGCTTCTGTTTGTCTAACTTTTTCCTCTAAATCCACATTCACCCATTCTCTTTGTTTTGCCTCTCCTCACTTCCTGTTGAGAACCAAGTTATCTATTAAAGGTCATGCTCATTTCCTAAATTCATTTAGGAGCTATTCCCTCTATGGATAAATGCCCAGCAAGATAGATACTTGTAATTTACTTCAAAAATAAGGGATTAAGGTTCCCCCTGGCATTGATTTTTCACCCTAGTTGCTGAGCAGGGGAAGTAGAATCGGCGAGTTCTTGGCAGACAGAGCTATTTGGAATGTGGTCAGTATTATTAGAAAGCACTTTTGAGGGAAAGTAGGGGGTTGAGACTTCAGTCTCACTGGTAGTTTTTCCAAGACACACTGCTGATGCTTTTCAAATGTTGCATTTCATAATTCAGTTTTGGTTTCCTTCAGGGTATATTTGATGTATTTCTTCCCTATGGCTAGGTATTGATGAAGGCCCCTTTTACCAGGGGCTCCTAATGGTCTCTCCATTCACCACCTGTTTGACATTTATGCTTTTCTCCCCTTCTCTGTAGGCTCTCAGGGGAAGCAAGCCCCACTTAACAGCTCTGCACGTAGGAACCAGGAGCCTAAACCCCGGCTTCCTGCATGTTTTTATCCCGAAATTGTCGTTACTGACCTCCCTTTTGTTTATTTTTTGCACTGTTAATTAGTGAAGCAGGACAAGACTTTCAGTAAGATCTTAAGTTTGCACCTTGAAGTCCAAAATGACCAAAAAGTACAGCTGAAGTGAAATCTCTTTTGTAGGAACTACCTGCGCCTTCAGGACCATTCAACCAGTAACCTGGCATTCAGGTCAGATGATCAGGATTCTTTTTCTCAGCATTCTCTACTTTAGATACCCAGGTCACCTTTTTTGTTTCTTCTGACATAGAAAGACCAGTTCTAGGTTGCAAGATTTCTTCAGTGAGACCGAATCTTATTTATGATTTTGGAGTTGAATAACGTTTTGCAGAGATCTCTCAAGGAAGCTTCCTGGTGTTTAGCTATGGCAAGTACTGGGTATTTGGTTATTATGTTGACCCTTTTATCTGTTAGGAAAGTTGAGCCCCTGTTATGTGTGAGGACCCTTTCCAGATGAGGAGCATTTAGACTCCAGTAAGGGTGGCAGGGTGGGACTGAGGCAAGATAGGACTTGCTAAGCTCCAAAAGGAGGACTCTCAGAGCTGACGAATTCAAAAGGGTAAAGGTTACCCTGGGCAGAGGGAAAGCCAGAAGCTTTTCCTGATGGAAATGGTTTCTTAAGTAGTTTATTAATGGGAGAAATGAGGAATGGAGCTCCTGTGCCAAGGGAATGAAGAAAGGAAAGCATAGGACATGCTTGGGTATGAGGTTGGATGCAAAAAAGAAGATGAAGCAGGAACACTGGAAAGGTTGGTGTGCAGGAACTGTGGACACCTCTGTGTCGCACGCCTGGTCCTGTGGTGCTTGGGTTGCCTGCCTGACTGTGCATTCAGTTGGGAGGAGGTCCTGATTCAGTCCTGGTAAGTAAGACTATGTCAGTTCTGGGGAAAGCACCCTTAGAATAGAACTCCTGATACAAAGTTTCAGAAAACCTCTTCAGTTACAAAATAAAGAATGTGTGAAGGTCCCAAACAGGCCTTGAAATATACCACATGGAGCAATACCACTTCTCAGATTAGGATCTAGGAAGGATGTAATTGTACATGTAAAATCCTTAAAACTCACAATAATTACTAACCTTCCAAAAGTGATTACAAGAATTATTTTTAGCTACAAGGAAAAAAGTAGCTAACGTGAACATTTTTTTAGGAACACTAAATCAGTTTTGTTTGGTTGATAGACTAAATCTGGGTTAATTTCATGTTTCCTTTTTAAGTAGTTCAGTAGTTCAATTTTATGGGAGGGGTTTTTTTTGTTGTTTTTTTGTCTTTTTGATACTTAAAGTTGACAAAGTTTGTAATGATACAGGAATTTCTTCTTTCACAAGTTTACCTGTGGCAAATACAAAGCCCATGTGGGCAGGGTTTTGTGTTCATTTTGTTCACTACTATATTCCTAGCCCATAGGAGGCACTTGTTGAATAAAGGAATGAAATGAACACTAAGCAGAAACATGAAAATAATTCTGTCACTGGTAGGATACCACTCTAAGATTTTTTTTTAAAATAGTGTATAATAAAATATTTGAAAGGCCACCTAAGGGTTTTAGTTAGAACAATTTAATGAAATCATTTTTTTTTGGATCCAACAAATGCTAATTATGCTTCCATTATTGATTGTCAGATTTGAAGTAGGCAGTCATTACATAAAGATCTGACCCTGGAGGTTTTCATTGTCTAATGGAACAGAGAGATCTTCCCATCCACAAGCGATTAAAATGCAATGGAGATTTCTTTAAGTGCCATGAGAGACACAGAAGAGTGGGTAGTTGATTGTTTTGGGGGGGGGGGGGAGAGGAAGTAATAGCACAGAATTAAGGAGGTTTTACAGAAACAGAGTTATTTAAACTGGACTTTGAAGGGTGAGTAGGAGTTCAGCAGATGTAGGAGGAGCTGGGAAGGGAACTAATAATAGAACTTCAGTATGTACTAGCTACACTATTTCTTTACATATGTTTTTCTCATTTAATCTCCTGACTTTCTGAAGTAGGTGTGAAACAGGTCCCCTTAATGCTGGAGGTGGAAATAGCCTACAGCAGTTGAAGGTCACTGGTACAAAGCCAAGATTAAAAAAACAAAACCTCTTCTATTACCATACAGGGCATTTAAGGTAGAGCGAGCAGCAGGTGTGGAAGCACGAAAAATCAAAGCAGTGTTTGAAGCATGCAGTGAGTACAGCCTGGCAGGGGGGTGGTCCTGAAACTGGAAAGCGTTGTTTTGGGGTGGGGGTGAGGGGTGTGGTCAGGCTTGAACGGTGTTTATTTGGCCACGCCTCTGTAGGGACAGTCCCTGGAGGTTTTTAGTTAGAAATGATGTGATCAGAGTAAACATCTCTTGAATATGATCTTCTACCACACTCCTCCCCCCAAGCATTCTGCTTTTAAACTCTCCTTTTTCCCCCTGAAGCTCATGCCTTTTTGAATATTCTAGTATTGGAAATCTTTGGCTGAGATGGTTGCTGCAGAGTGGGTTAAGCATGGCGCTTGGCCCTAAATGTCTGGAAGTGGAAGAGCCAGTGGGTCCTTCAACAGAAACCTCTAAAAAAAGATCAAGGAGTTGAATATAGTTGTTAATCTGTATTAAAAGAGGCATTGTAGTAAAAGAAACGTTTGAAATCAGGGCTATTAGTATGTTTTAGTTTAAGAGTTTAGTTTCCATGGTGAGTTACAAGAAAATCAGCTTTTGAGCACCTGTTTTAAATAGGGCACTATTGTAGGTGTTTGGTTTCATCAAAATTAGGTGCCTGTGGTTCCTCAGGTATGTTTTGCTCATCCTTGACTTGGGTGCTGGGACCAGAGCGTTGTCTCCGCCCCACTACCACTGCCACTCAGCTTTAAACTTGACTCAAATTTCAGATAGGACGTGGTGGTGAGGAAGAAAATTTCCTCTGCTCTTAGGTTTCAGCTGGTCTAGTTAATATACACAAGACAGATTAGGTTACCAAAGCAAAACCAAGTTTAGTTGCATACGTATGTATAGGAACCCGCATATACAAGTATATATGAGAGAGTCTGACACCCCACGTACGTGAGAGGTTCAGAAACAAAGTTAAAATAAGCTGCATGCAGCATTTTGGGCTGACACTGAGGTAAGGCACCTTGGCGCTTCCCAGGGGAGGAAGGTCATTGGAAAGATAGTAAGAGCAGATAGGCAGTAATTAGGTGTTTGCCCTGCTGTATGGATAGGCCATAATAAAGTTACATCTGGCTGTGCTTACTATGGGTGAGGACCCCAATTTAAATTCTTTAAGGGAGAGGTAGAAGTTTCTCCTGAGTTCTCAGGATGTCGGTTGCCCCCAGCTCAAAATAATTCTCATGCCAAAGTGGCTCACCTTGGGGAGCCCTGTTCAACACAAATTCAGCACAAATTCAACACAAATTTGAGGTTCCAAAGCTTACTCTGTTTTACAGGGCAATCTTATATGCCCATTATACACAGTCACATATCAGAAAGTTTAAAACTATTATACCTGTAATCAAAGTTTTTAGGTATGGATGTGTACAAAGGATTGAAGGAACTTGGGTTTGCAGTTTTGCTTTATTTGATTGTTATCTGGGACCTGTTACCTCTCATGAATAATGCACACAAAAAGTTGCCCGGAAAGGACAAATTACAGGAACTTAGTACTGTTACACTATTAGCACATACATAGCCAACAAGCATGCAGTTTAATTTAGCTCTTTGTCCATGGAGTTAGCTTTTAGTTTACCTCTCATTTTCAGCGATGAT